TGGCAATGGTGAGCCTTATGGAAAATTCAATGTATTTTTTAAAACGCTTTTCATAACATTTTTTTATATGTGTATAGATTCCACCCAGGGTTTCTGCCACAGCCAATGTGCTGGATCAACTCACAGTGCCCATTTTGTACTGTTGTATCCAGTTTTTAATACAGTGGTACCTCGGTTTTCGAGCGTCTCGGAAGCAGAATGTTCTGGTTTTTGAATGCCAAAAACCCAGAAGTACAGTGGTACCTCGGGTTACATACGCTTCAGGTTACAGACTCCGCTAACCCAGAAATAGTGCTTCAGGTTAAGAACTTTGCTTCAGGATGAGAACATAAATTGTGCTCCGGCGGCGCAACAGCAGCAGGAGGCCCCATTAGCTAAAGTGGTGCTTCAGGTTAAGAACCGGAACGAATTAAGTACTTAACCTGAGGTACCACTGTAAATGCTTCCGTTTTCAAACACACCTCATGTTTCTCAGTTTTCTCAATTGAACTTGCAGCCAGCCCTTTGCGCTTTGGTTTTCAAACATTTCGGAAGTCGAACGGTCTTCCGGAACAGATTACGTTCAAGAACCAAGGTATCACTGTATGTGTATATCAATTTTAAAGGTGTGCAAAGGCATTGAAATGGAAGAGGCCAGTGAAAGCATTATGCGACCACTTGTCACCATTGCACAGAGCAGGGATAACGAAAATGGTGCCCTTCAGATGGGACTACAACTCCCATCAGTCCTTGCCAACACCACACTCCCTGCACGTGTGATTGCCTGCAACTAGTATATAGAGGTGGCACTGTGGTCTAAACCACAGAGCCTAGGGCTTGCTGATCAGAAGGTTACCAGTTCAAATCCCCACAACGGAGTGAGCTCCCGTTGCTCGGTCCAGCTCCTGCCAACCTAGCAGTTCAAAAGCACGTCAAAGTGCAAGTAGATAAATAGGTACCACTCTGGCGGGAAGGTAAACAGCATTTCTGTGCGCTGCTCTGGTTCGCCAGAAGCGGCTTAGTCATGCTGGCCACATGACCCGGAAAAACTGTCTGCAGACAAACGCCAGCTCCCTCGGCCAGTAAAGTGGGATGAGCGCCGCAACCCCAGAGTCGTCCGCGACTGGACTTAACTTTCAGGGGTTCCTTTACCTTTAGTATATAGCTGTCTATCATCTGTTCCAACATACACAGTGGACTAACTGGGTGAGATTGTTAAGAGGTTTGGACGTTGGTGGGGAGCATCACTGCAATCACACCCAGCTCTCTTCTTCCCATCCATGCCTGGTTCTGTGGTCTCTGCATTTGCTCAGTGGCAAAGCAGATTCCGCAGCCACCTCCCTTACAGTGACAAAGGGTTGCACAATTGTTTCGCTGGCTTCTTCATTTCAATGTAGTCTTTGTGTTGCACTCTTTAGCTTTCATTGTGTGGGTGTGGCATGCCTCAGGACATTTCCCTCGCCTCTCGCTTCTCAAAGAAGTAATCTTTTTAGTAAGAGGGGAAATGTTAGAGGGGACAAAACCCAAGCAGCTGCTATAGGATCGTTGCTTTATTAGGAGAAGCTTTAAAAAACCACCTTGCCAAACAGTTCTAGTTAATGTAGTCCAAAACGTCTCAAGGGCAGGATGGCAAATGCTGGGTTAAAGCGTCGAGAGCATGGGTAGGCAAACTAAGGCCCAGGAGCCGGATCCAGCCCAATCGCCTTCTCAATCCGGCCCACGGACGGTCTGGGAATCAGCGTGTTTTTACATGTCCTTTTATTTAAAATGCATCTCTGGGTTATTTGTGGGGCCTGCCTGGTGTTTTCACATGAGTAGAATGTGTGCTTTTATTCAAAATGCATCTCTGGGTTATTTGTGGGGCATAGGAATTTGTTGCTTTTTCTTCTTCTTCAAAATATAGTCCGGCCCCCCACAAGGTCTTAGGGACAGTGGACTGGCCCCCTGCTGAAAAAGTTTACTGACCCCTGGTCAAGAGTGCGCAGAGGAGGAGCTGTATTAGTCTGTTACAGCTATAACAAATGCCCTTGCTTAGGGTATCTTAAATAGCTCAGGTCAGCGGTTCCCAAACTAGTCCACAGCATCTACAGCATCTTGGAAGAGGTGTAACATCATGGGAGGGGTGTTTCCAAGTACCCCAGGGATAGTAAGCAACATCACAAGGGTGGGGTTTCTAGGACCAAGGCGAAAGTCAAGCTCTCTCATTTTTGCTCTTGAATGTTGTTAATGTAATCTTGTTTTATATACTGAAATACTGTTGGTTTGTTTTTTGTATGCTGTCATATTCACTATTGTGCTGTTGTTTTTTTGTGCATTCCTCTTTTCTTTGCTGCATGGCGCTTTGAGCATATTTTTGGGTGGAAAAGCAGCCTACAAGTAATGAATGAGCAAGCGTGCCTGTAAAAGTAAGATTACAAATCATACAACATACAGCACAGCACATTGCAATTGCTACAACAGGCAGTAAAATCATTAAGTGGTCTATCCAGATCCTCTGCAAATGTCAATGGTCCGTGGGTTTGGGAACCAACGGCCTAAGTTTTCATGTACCATACTAAAGCACATGTAAGATGCATGGAGTAGAATCTTAATTGGCAGCTCTATAAAGAAGAAAATTGTAAGGGGTGGGAGCAAACTAGTCCCTGACAATCAGCTTAAAAGCTTAAAGAGGGCACACCCTTTTCACAGGTTGGTGATAATTCCCTAAGCACTGCCAGGATGATTGCATTATCACCTGTAGTGGGCAGGGAGCCATAAGCACAAAACAACTGTTGATGGCACAGATATCCTGGCATTGATAAGCTAATTAAGACATGTACAGTGGTACCTTGGTTTACAAACTTAATCCATTCTGGAAGTCCATTCTTAAACCAAAGCGTGCTTTCCCATAGCAGCGGGGGAATCAATTTACAAATGGAACACACTCAACCGGAAGCAAAACAGGTTCTTTTTCCCCAAGGCAAAATTCACAAACCAAAATAACTACCTGTACTTCTGGGTTTGCAGTGTTCTTAATCCAAGTTGTTCATAAACTAAGCTGTTCTTAAACCAAGGTACCACTGTAGTGGGTGAAAAAATAAATAAATCCTGTCTCAATTTCACCCGCAAGTGATGGCACTGAACTTATTGTTCTGGAATGGTGAGCAGGACTCTTGAGTGCACGAAAGTTTGAAGAGGGTGTAAGATGTGATTAATTTAGTAGTCTGCAAATGGCAGACTTTTTCATCATGCCAGAAAGCATATTTGTATTTTGTTCACCCAGCCCTTTTAAATAGCTTAGGTAGTTTTCAAAAAGCAGGGCAGCACAGAGAATTACATTTTGTTGTGTGCCTGTAGTTTTTCCCTTTTATGGTTTGATTTGCTTCTAACTTATTTATTGTAAGCCACCAAGGGAACAAATGTCAAATAAATGGCTGAAGAGTCACTTCAAAGCAGCATTCGGGGGAGTCTGGAAGAGCGATCTTTGCTCTGTGAATTGCAGTGTAACCAGTTCCACTGAGTTCAATGGGATTTTCTCCACTAAGTATGTATAGCTTTGCACCCACAGACTTTTTAAGGCAGGGAAATAAGCAGTGCCCCCCCCCCAACTATATCCACAGATCTGCTCACCCATCTGGCATCCAGACCCAGGGCAGTTCAACCCAGCCAGCTGGACATTGAATGGGGCGAGTTCTAAGCCCAGGCACAGGTCCACATGGAGATCTCTGGATGCTAGATTGGCGACTGACATCTCCATCTGGCTGACCTTCCTGATTTCTTAAGCACGTAAGCAGAAGACCTTCTTCACTGCATTTAGGTATATCCCACGGGGTACATGGTTTCCCCCAGCCCAGTTAATCCCTACAGTGACCCTTTTGAGGTAGGTTCAGAGGCTGTGACTGACTCCAAGGTCACCCAGTGAGCTTTATGATTGAGTGGGGATTTGAACCCTGATCTCCCAGGTCCTAGTCTAACACCCACATCACCACACTAGCTTCCTGGAGTATTTCTGCTATGGGGCATATATATAAATAAGTACATAATTATGGGAAAAGCAAAATGTCACTTAGAGAAGGCTCTAAAACACTTTCCTTGAAGCTTGAATTTGCTTTATTCTGGATTGTTTTGTTTGTTTTAATGTGTTGTAAACCGCTTTGAGATTTTTTTCTCTTTAAAACATAAAGCAGTATAGAAATGAAATTAATATTAACAATAATAAATCCCATGGGGGGGGGGAATGGTGCCTAGACATTTTGTTGCGCTAATTGCGGGTGGCACTGTGGGTTAAACCACAGAGCCTAGGACTTGCCGATCAGAAGGTCGGCGGTTCGAATCCCCACGACGGGGTGAGCTCCCGTTGCTCGGTCCCTGCTCCTGCCAACCTAGCAGTTCGAAAGCACGTCAAAGTGCAAGTAGATAAATAGATACTGCTCTGGCGGGAAGGTAAACGGCGTTTCCGTGCGCTGCTCTGGTTCGCCAGAAGCGGCTTAGTCATGCTGGCCACATGACCCGGAAAAATTGTCTGCGGACAAACGTCGGCTCCCTCAGCCAGTAAAGCGAGATGAGCACTGCAACCCCAGAGTCGGCCACGACTGGACCTAATGGTCACCAGTCCCTTTACCTTTACCCCTGGTCTAGAGGTAACTGACACTTTGGTCGTCTCTCAAAAGCCACCTATGAACAGAGGATTGATGGAGCCATGTGGGAAGGCTTTTATCCACTAGAGCAGGCATTAGAACGTACGACTTTTCGACAGGAGGCATTCCAGAACTGCTTCACTTGCTCTGGAACAGCCATGTTAAAAAAAGATACCTGTACCCCTTTTCCCCAGGGCGCATGCCTACAGGCTGGAGGATCTTTGGCCCTTGTTTTAGCCAGCAGCGAATTAGATGGTCTGACTCAACAAAAGGCAGATTTGTCTCTCCTCGTGACAAGCAGCATCCCTAGTGTGGAAGCTCGCTACTTCAATGTACCTTCTTCCAAATCATCATAGATATTAGTAAATCTGCTATCCAAGGGAAGCACATACACAAAGGCCCCTGTGCATATTTTAATCCAGTTTAATAAAGTCCCATTGCAGATGTTACAGTATATAATATTATAACAGACACCCATATTAATCTCTAGGTGTTGCTAGTGTCAGCCAAACTCCAGTCTATCCTCTGAATAAATCTGACTGCTCTTAGCTCAGCAGGGCAAAAAGCTTGGCAGATTTAACAGTGTTCGGACACAGCACAGGTGGCATCTTAAAACGTCAAGCAATTATCCTCAATTTCTAAGAGGTTAGGACTAGAAACTAAGAAGAAGAAAAACATTTCAGAGGAAATGAAAGGCTTCTCAGGGAAAAATCCAGATCTTGCTCTGAGCCCTGAAATTAGGAAAGTAATGATGCCAAGGAGAGGCTGAGCGTACGCTGATCTTTCCAAAAGATTCCCTGATAAGTAACACATTTCAAACAATTACTCTTGGTGCCCAGGTTCATCTTTATATGACATGGACTTAGTGGTTTTTAAACCGCGTCCTCTCTTTCCGCCTGAACTTTTCTCCCCAGATGAAGAATTTCCCTTCCCTAGCACACCAATATTGCACAAGCCTCATCCTAACTTCGGGGACCCAGGAGGACAGAGGAGATCACGAAGCAAGAGTAACCAAGTGCAAAAATAGGATTGTTTCAAAAAATAAGTAGCGTCGTTTCTATAGAAGACGGGTACACTGACCATTTAGCTTTTAAAATTATCGTATCAAGACTGTACAATGCATGTGCACAGAACTTTTTTTTTTAACAGATACATTTGTGCTACAAAATTTGATCAAAAAGAGTCAGCAGCAAGGAGCTCAGAAAACTACTAGTCAACTAAAGCTGATAAAAATCTGGTCCTGCAGGTGGCAAACTGCATCAAGTGAGTTTGATAGGCATTTGTTTCCCTTTTCAAAGCAAAACATAAGCATGTTAGCGGAAACTTGTAGGTTGTTGTGTTTTTTTTTAACTACAATTTTCAATCCAGCCAGTAGAATACTACCAATGCCAGTATCTCGCCCTGTGGCTCTAGTTTGTTCAGCGAGGGCCAGCACTCATTATACCTCCATCTAGACAAAGCTTGTACAAAAAAACACACCAGGGCCTTAAATTGTCGTAGCCCTTGAGGTGTGTGCAACGCTTGCTGCTGAGTGTAAAGTCGCCGCGGACAAGGCAAAAGAGCAACATTTGGCATGGCAAAAAGTCTTCACTTGAGGAAATGTGCCATTTGGAGGGGTGGGGGCAAGACCCAAAGCAGTGCTCAGGTTGCAGGCAGAACCTACCTATTCACAGCTCTCTTAAGATGTCGAGAGGGCATTAGGGCAGCCACAGACATTAGCAAACAGAAGAGACGAGGTTTGCTTAAAATGCAGGCGTCTGAAGGGGGCCGAGGGTCTTCCAGCCCCTTTCTGACCACCTCCACTTGGTTTCTGTCCTTAGAACCCCCTGAGCAGGGTTCTTTTGTATGGAGGAGGGTTGGCTTCTTAAATACCTGCAGACAAGCTCATTCTGCACAGAATGCTGAAATTCTGCTATTTCCTGCTAAGGGCTAACTAAAATAGAATTGACACACAAACACACATAACCAACTCCCAAGGTAGTTGCAAGGAAAACCACATGTGTGGAACCCCACAACGGAAACACACACTTGGGACATGGGGAGCAGTTAGGAAGTGAAGCAGCAGTGGCATGGGACAGGTTAGGTACATGCACACAGCTTTTCCACTCTAAATCACTCTCTTTCTCTCAAGGCAGGTTTCAGGGTCTGGTCACATGTGTTCACGTGCAGTGCATAGTCAGGTATCAAGGCAGAAAACACTGGTTGTCAAGAGGAGGGGCATTTGGAAGAAGACAGGGAGAGGATGCAGTTCCAATGCAGCACAAGGAACTGGGGCATTGTGAATGAACTCGGGGACACCCAGCGTGGTAGTTTTGCAATTTCCCAGAAAGCTCCCTAGCCAGCAGGTCCTTGTTTTGATGCAAGCATCAACCTTTCTACTAAGCACCTGAGATTTCAACAAGGCAAACCTTCAGTGCATTTCCCATCCCTTAAGCAGATTTCTCCCTCTCTTTCTGGACAGCCCTTCAAAGTCTGGACAATGCTCATCGTTAACTCAGCCCTCCGTCTATGATTCACCAGCCAAGGCTTCCCAGAAGTTTTACAACCTGGGGGACAGGCTTAGGACAAAGGCCTCAAAAATGATGCATCTCACAGAGATGCAGTTCTTGCACCCAACACCTCGGAGCTCTTCAACGCCAACATTCAGCAAGGCTCCTGGCACAAAACTTTCCAGCCGAGCAGAACTTTCCCACTCGACTGGCAATTCTGCCACTTTGCAGCGCACACCTACCAAGAGGAGAGACTGCCTGCATGTGCTTTCAGCCAGGTGCCTCAAAATCAGGAAAGGGAGCCTGGGTCCGGGCGTACTCCTAGCTTACAAAAAAGAAGGCGCAAGGCCACAATGTCTCTTCCTGCGTCCCCCCCCCTGGGAAAAAAGAAATCTAAGGCTCTTGTCATTTTGGTTTTTTTTTGCACTTAGTTTAAAGTATGATTTCAAGCAAACATCTAAAACTTGAACACAGTGTTCTCAGGTTATGCAGCAGAGAAGGGGAGGCTAAATACGGCCAGACAGCCAAGGAGTCACTACATAGTGCCTATGAGTAGCTAGATAGCCAGCAGAGGGAAAGAGCATTTTAAGGGCTGCCGATGGCTGTTGGCTAGTGCACTGGGGTAGGAAAGGCTCTGCAAACTGGTCGCTCATCCCTTGCTAGACTCTTGCGCCTGCTTCACCTGACAGGCGACTCTCCTTCAGCCCCCCCGCCCCCGGCCACCCCTCTGTGGCCAGTTTCAGTAAGGTCAGCTGCGGCCACCTCATCTCTCACTTGCCCCTCTTGCCTCTACCCTTCCGGGATGAAGACTTCCCGGGACCCCCCGCCGATGAGCCGGCTGACGATGCCATGGCAATATTGATCTGTCCATCTTGGATTTCCTGCCTAGCCTCAGCGGGGAGGTGATTGATCTTCTGCTGTGTCTCCAGGTAGAACATGACGTCCCGCAGTTGCTCCTGGACCTCCGTGATCTGCAGGTCCTTCTGCTCACATGTCTCCTTCAGCAGCTTCTCCTCCTCCTTCAGCTTGTTCTGGAGCAAGATCTGGTTGGCTCGCAGGCACTTGTTCATTTCCTGCTCCTCTTTCAGCTCTGTGGTCAGCTTGGACACTTTGGTGTTTAGCTGGGTGCACCTGAAGGGCAGAGAAGGAGAGGGAACTATGTTACATTCAGAGTCTACTCCATAGGATGTGGGTATCAAACAGTAGTCCCAGAGGCCATGCCAAGGTAATTTTATTTACCGTATTTTTTGCTCTATAAGACGCACCAGACCACAAGACGCACCTAGTTTTGGGAGGAGGAAAACAAGAAAAAAAATATTCTAAATCCCAGAAGCCAGAACAGCAAGAGGGATCGCTGCACAGTGAAAGCAACAAACCCTCTTGCTGTTCTGGCTTCTGGGATAGCTGCGCAGCCTGCATTCGTTCCATAAGACGCACACACATTTCCCCTTACTTTTTAGGAGGGGAAAAGTGAGTCTTATAGAGCAAAAAATACGGTACTTCATTATGAATGCAGCAGGCCAGCAACACATGCGCATTCGGCTTTTCATGTGCTCAGCAAAACAATTTTAAAACATTTTAAAAGGGGCAAGCGTCCAGGAAAAAAGACTTTGGTACTCCCACCTGCCATTGAACCCAATGTAGTTTGACTGCACATGATTTTGGCTTCTTAAGGATAAACACAACACAAAGCACATACTTCCTTTCGACAGATTGCTTCTCTTTGACCAAGTCATTCAGTCTGTGCTCGAGCGAGTCGCATTTCTCAATCGTCTCTTTAAATTTAGTCTTCATGTTGTTAATCTGTTTTTAGAAAAAGAGAAAATGGCACTTTTCAAGCAGGCCAAAGTCTAACTGGGTGTTCTCTCCATAAGGGTTGAGTGTTCTGGAGTGATTCCTAGACTCTGGCCATTTCCTGGGGGAGTCAGTGAAGAAATTTCAAGAAGAGAGACAACAAAGAACTACGTAAAAAAAACCTAAGAATTTGAACTGGAGCTTCCTCCCTCCCTCCCTCTCCATTTTCCTTTTGGGTTCTGTGTTTTTAGATTGTAAGCCTTTTTGGTCTTTTTGGGGGAGCCTTTCCTATTGTGCATTATGCAAAGGGCCAAAGTTCAGTGGCAAAGCACCCACTTTACTTGCAGAAGGTCCCAGGTACAATCCCCAGGCGGGGCTGGGAAAGAACCCCATCTGAAATCATGGGAAACCATGGCTAGCCAGTGGCAAGAGGGGGTGGTACACTCATGCCATGTTCATCCTCTGCCCCCAAAAGGCCTGGGTAAAAAGGTCTAGGATTCCATCCAAAATCCTCCCACCCCCAAACTCAGGACCATCAGAGAAGATGCCAACTTGCTGGACCAACTTTAGAGGCAAGAGCAGTATCACCAATTTGCCCAGCCTCCCTCCACTACCAGCATTTCCTTCAACCTGCCATCCTCAGAAGAGCTGAACGTGCCGCTAGCGCCCATAAGAAACTCACCTCTTCGGCCGTGTCCTTTTCTATTCGGACTATCTTGTTCTCCCAGTATATACGCTGGGACTCCAGCTGACTTGTCAGCAAGTAAGAGTACTGTGTTCAGAAGGAAAGAAGAGGCAATGAGAAGGCAATATTCCACAGGGAGAGCCGTTCCTGCATTTGACATGGGTCTAGCATTCTGCCCTGACATTCCCACAAACTCAACAGCTAGCTTGCAACTGGAAAGGACCTGCGGCCTCCGTTGTCCGAGTGCCATTCAAGCTCACACGTAAACAGAGGGCTGCCTGTTGTCTCCATTCGTTTGGGTTTCTTTGCATTACCCACCCAACTTGCACCAACCGTTAAGGAAGCCAGAGAGAATGTGCAAAAGCAAGAGGGGAAGAAAACCAATGTGGACTTGCCTCTAGTTGTAATGCGTCAATCTTCTCTTCTTGGCATATGTCCCCCTCGCACTCATACTGAACTAGCTTCCCGTCTGTTTTGCTGGCCACTAGCCGGTGGACGTAATTGTCTAGAGAGAGAGAGAGACACAAATGCAACAACCCTGACTGACTAGCTCCAATTTCCTATTTGGAATTACAAATAGATACAGAAAGCAAGAGTAAAATTCAGTTACCAATTCTACCCACGCCCGCCATACAACAAGCCCACCCTGTTGGGAATCTCGCAGGCGGAGCACTCGGCTACTTCCAGTCTCACCCTATAGGAGGGGCCCTGGTAATGAAGATGGCTGCACTGCTGAGCTTCTAGCCAGCTCAAGCTCAGCCAACCTGCTTCCTGCAATTGTCCCACAGGACACAGGACCCTTCTTGATTAAAGTTCCATCTAACTCAGTATTGTCTATAGTATTACCAGCCATTCACAAACTTCGATCCATAGATGTTGTTGGACTACAACTCCCATCATTCCTAGCCAGCTTGCCCAGTGGTCAGGGCTTATGGGAGTTGTAGTTCAAAAACATCTGGGGGATTTGCCAAGTGTATACTTCAGAAAGCCTTTGAATTCCCAATATTTCTATAGAGGCTAATTTCTTGCTTCATTTGTGACAAGGCAATTAAAGCAAAATGAAAAGGCGTAATAAAGACTTGTACCTAAAGGGTTAGATTGAGATACGTGTTTTTTTTCTTCCTTGTGTTGTTTGTTCTTGGGGTTTTTTTGGGGGGGGAAAAAACAATTTTTATATATAAATGAACATTTATATATATAAATAATATGCTTGCCTGTAAAATGTGTGTTTGTTACTATGTTGCTGATTGATCACTTGGGCTTGTGCACACAATTACTGTGATCACTTCCATCTTAAAAGCAGTTATCTAAAATCTATATATAATGGACTGTGGGTTGTATACAAACTATTGCATACATGTACAAAGCTGTCCTGATTCAAAGAAGAAGGAAAACATGTATAACATTATTACTACTTGAATGCTTCTGTGACTGATTAATTTTTTCATTTTAAATATAAACTTTTTTGTGGAGAGTATGCTTAGTGTTTTATTATTTTGCCTCCTCCCTTCTGCTGCTTTGTAAATACATTTCGTTCTGTGTGACTTGGTTTGGAAATAGTTAACTGGTACTGTAATTTGCATTAAATAAAAAGTAGGTTAGCCTGGCAGATCGTGAAGTTGAGGCTCCAAGACTTTGGCCACCTCATGAGAAGAGAAGACTCCCTGGAAAAGACCCTGATGTTGGGAAAGATGGAGGGCACAAGGAGAAGGGGACGACAGAGGAGGAGATGGTTGGACAGTGTTCTCGAAGCTACCAGCATGAGTCTGACCAAACTGCGGGAGGCAGTGGAAGACAGGAGTGCCTGGCATGCTCTGGTCCAGGGGGTCACGAAGAGTCGGACACGACTAAACGACTAAACAACAACAGGTTAGCCTGGACATGAAATTTTAAAAAAAAAAAAGCATCTGGGGGCTCGAGGCTGAGAAAGGCTGGTCTATACTGATTGGCACTGGCTCTCCAGGGTTTTAGATGGGATATTCCCACCCAAGGTGAAAATGCCAGGGAATGAACCAGGGACCTTCTGCAAGCAAAGCCGGTGCTCTGCTACTGAACTTTGGGGAAACTTCAGTCCTGGCCTTTCTTCAGTTCTACCAGAGGAAGTATTCTACATACGATTTGCAGAGAATTCAGAGGACAGTATTACTGAATTTATGATACTGTCTCTGGGGGGGAAAGGAAATGTAAGATTCTAGAGGAGAAGATTGTGATACTATCATAAACATAACAGGAAATGTAATTTGAACATATGGAACTGGGCATGAATTAAAGGATATATAACTAGGGGGAAATTATGGAATACTTTCCCAATATTTGTTTGCAGTGGAGATTTTATAACACGGCCATGGATGGAAGGATTTACTATTATTCTATACGGAGGAAGTGGTGAGAATTAACAGAGGTAAAGTTAATATCAAAGAAAGAACATGGTTGACTTTTACCAGTAATAATAATAGCTCAGGAACCCCTCTTGGACTTTTTGTGAGAAAAAGAAATGAATGATTCTGAGACACTTTGACTTAAAAGAAATACTGTTTAACAGAAAGTAGAAAAGATGGGTGCTATCATGGACTGAATGTCTTAATCTTTTCTTTTTTTCTGTAACTGGCAGATGGAAAATCAAATGTCTTTTTTACTTTTCTGTAATGTTACTTTTCCTTTTGTCTGTTGCTTTCTGTCTCTTTTCTCTCTTATTTTTTTCCTTTTCCATTTTTGCATCTCTCTTTTTCTTTCGAGTCATATGTATGGGGCCTTTGCTAATGTCCAGGGATTGTGTACTCAAGGGGGTGGTTCATGGCTGATGGAGGTCCCTGGGTGGGAGACAGGGCAATGTTGGTCTACCTGGGTGAGAGGCTGGGAGCAGGAAGGAAGGATCGCAGGTGAGAGCTGGGAGGGGTGCCTACTTTCTGTAGATGGTGGGGGCTGAGAATTGCCTTTAGGAAAGGACTCTGTACTCTTTTCGCAGTAATTATCTTACTGTATTGTGAAAAACTTTAATAAAAATCTTCTAACAAGAACTAAGAACAGTGTTCTGTCCGGCTCAGTACTGCCTACACTGGCTTGTTGTGGCTCTCCAGAGTTTCAGATGCAGACTGATGACATTCCCAGCTCCCTTTTGAACTGAACCTGGGACTTCCCACATGCAAAGTAGATGGTCCACTTTCCCTAGAAAGACCAAGAGCCTGACATGGTACGAGGCAGGTTTGGCTCGGTAGCTAAATACCGAAGCACAGATTTAAGGCTCAGCAATGGCTGCTCCTCAAGCAGTGTCAGGTAGAGGAAATACCTCCAGCGTAGTCCCAGACTCTGTGATTGGTGAGCTGCATGGCGTAGGTGTGCTGCGTCTCCTCAAAGTGCTTGTAGGCGTGCCGGCTAACGTAGCGCCCACATCCAATGTGCCCGCAAATCAGACATATCCACAGGTTCTGCATGAAAAGGATTGTACTGAAGCTCAGAAAAAAGCAGATAAGACAGCCAGGCCACAATCCATACCCTTGCTGCAATGTCCCAACGAACAGTGGAATAGCGGGTTTTGAGTAAACAGGCAAAGGATCCCATCGTCGGGCACCGAGAGAAACAGAGGGACACTCAAAGGTGGGCTGGGGCAAGCTGGGCCAGGGGGCAGGTCCTGCTTGTCGATCACGTGCCTAATAATAATAATATTATAATAATTTTGTATTTGTATCCCGCCCTCCCTGGCCAAAGCCAGGATCAGAGCGGCTAACAACAGGTTAAAAATAGCACAGTGCAAATAAAATTGCACAATCAATTAATTAAAATGCACTCTAGAATCAATTCAGAATCAAATTAATGGCAACCATTGGGTTAGGAGAGAGGGAGTCAGACTGTGCCTTGGCCAAAGGCCTGGTGGAACAGCTCCATCTTGCAGGCCCTGAGGAAAGTCCCGCAGGGCCCTAGTCTCTTGTGACAGAGCGTTCCACCAGATCGGGGCCACGGCCGAAAAAGCCTTGGCTCTGGTCAAGGTCAGCCTAACCTCCCTGTGGCCCAGGATCTCCAAGATGTTTTTATTTGAAAGACCGTAAGGTCCTCCGTGGGACATACCAGGAGAGGCAGTCCCGTAGGTACAAGGGTCCTATTGCGATATAGGGCTTTAAAGGTTAAAACCAGCACCTTAAACCTGATCCTGTACTCCACCGGGAGCCAGTGCACCCAAGACTTTACAGATGTGCCAGTTTGCCTTAGCAAATGGGAAATTTGTTTCTTTCTTAGCTTATCTTTTCTTCAAGCAACTGCATGAACCATTTGCAGTTGGGTGGGGACACCCTCTGCGTCTTCTGATCCCTCCTTACTCCAACCCCTCTCCCAATGAGATTTAAAAGTGCATTCAGGGTTGGTTAGCCTGGAGCGAATGGTTCCCTCTGTAAACAGCCCCCGCTGCAGACGATACAAGTATCAGCATAAAAATTGCCCCTGTTCTGTGCCCACTCACTTCTTGGACTCCACACTCAAAGCACTTGTTCTCTTCCACAGGTTCCGGCGTCTGGCAGTACCTGCACACAGGACACCTGGAAGAGGCAGGGGAGAGAGAAATGGTTACAATCCAGGCCGATTAACTTGTGGGAGGTGCAGGGCAAATCCAGCTGCTGCTGAAGTACGACTGCCAGCATCCATGAGTCCAGCAACCTGCAGAGGGCACTGCGTTGGCTATCCCTGTTCTAGCCACTTTAAGCACTTCCTAGATAACTCAGTAACTTAAAAGAGAAAGCCAGGGCAGGAATATAAGAAATCTGCTAAGAATATGGGATGGGTTAGACCAGGGGTCAGCAAACTTTTTCAGCAGGGGGCCAGTCCACTGTCCCTAAGACCTTGTGGGGGGCCGGACTATATTTTGAAGAAGGAAAAAAAGCAACAAATTCCTATGCCCCACAAATAACCCAGAGATGCATTTTAAATAAAAGCACACATTCTACTCATGTAAAAACACCAGGCAGGCCCCACAAATAACCCAGAGATGCATTTTAAATAAAAGGACACATTCTACTCATGTAAAAACACGATGATTCCCAGACCATCCGCAGGCCGGATTTAGAAGGCGATTGGACCAGATCCGGCTCCCTGGGCCTTAGTTTGCCTGTTTATGCTGCTATAAACTTTGCCTGCTCAGTGCTGCAAAATCCAAGAAACAAGAGGACCTTAGTTTGCCTACCCATGGGTTAGACTAAGCAACCCTCACTGCTGAAGAGACAAACAGAAGCAGAGGGAATAAAAAAGTAGCAACAACGTGGTCAAAAAGAGCTTTTGAAAATCGGGTCCACCTTGGCCAAAAGGGTACGCCGTCATCTTTAACAGTTTCAGTAATTTTATCTTGCCCTATATCCTAGGTCAGGGAATCACATAAGCGGTGTCCCTACGTTTAATTTTCTTTTATTATTGTAGCAACTCTTACAACCTGAGGAGGAGGGTAGGGCACATATGCCAAAAGCTAGTCTTGTAAAATAGGTTAGAAAGAACGGCTGGCCCAAGGTCATCCAGCGAGTGGCACAAGGAGGAGTTTGAAACCCAGACCTACTTTGGTCCAAGCCCTGCCCTCCATCCATCCATCCCATCACCAAGTGTATGTGCATAAGTGAAGGCTTCTTCCGTGAAGCCATGAGCACGACCACATCATTCTGTACCCCCACGGCTGTTAAGCCCAAGTGCTTTTTCTCTTCCTTTCCACCTCACAAAAAAACCTAAGAGCAGCCCTTATCAGACTAAAGGCCTATCTAGTCCCAGCACCTTGTACTCACAGTGGCCTCTCAGAAGCCGACAAGGAGGAACCGGGCACAACAACAATCTCCCCAGCAACTGATCTATTGACAGGCACCATGCCTCGAACACTGGCGGCAGTGTCGGGTTATGAACTGTTGACTATTTTAGATGGGGACCTACCCTACTGTGCAGACTAAAAATACTGGTGTTTATATAGCCCATAAAAGTAACATGATTTGTTTAAAAAGTCAAGTGAACACGCTAGATCAAACCAAGCCCAGTTTGGGGGAGGTTTGTTTAACCTACAGCCCTCCAGGACTTGTTGATCTCGTCCACCCCAGCCAGCAGGGCAATGGATCATGGATGATGGCAGTTTCAGCCTAACTTCTGGAGGACCTCAAGTTAGCCACCCCTGACTCAGGGCACTGGCAGGTTTTCTGGAACCCTCACATTTAGGCCCACTGCTAGATGTTGGAAGGGCAACAAAACTGGGAAAGGCACGCAAACAGCGCTCTCTCTCTCTCCCCCCTCCCCGGCAATACTCCAGAATGAAGAGAGCTTCTTACGTGGTGTCCTCCCACCGCTGCAGACACTGGCTGTGGAAGCTGTGGTTGCAAAGCGTTGTGAGAATCCCGTTGACGGACTCGTCCATTCTCTCTAGGCAGACAGTGCACTTGGGGAGCTCAGTCAGGTCCATGACAGGAAGACTGGCCCCCTGCAGAGGAGGAGGAGGAGGAGGAAGAAAAAAGGCACATCCAGATTTGTCAGGGTGCTGCTCGATGGCACATGCAACCAAACACATATTTACACTGGCAATGTGTTCATTTCCCCCCATTCTTCTTCTCGCCTTCTCAATAGCGAAAGGGGATTCTAAGCCCACCAGCCACTTCATAGAGAGGCCAAAAACAGCAGTGCTCATCCATGGCAGCACACAGAGCAGTAGTGCCCGAAAAACCGAGCCCAGGTTAGAAACAAAAGCCCACCTGACGAAACAAAGCAGGAAGATCATGTTTGGAGATATAGCTTTGATGGAAAAAATTAAGCCAGTGTCAGATTAGCTAAAGTTCAGGCTAAACCTGGTGCATATATGGCTTCCATTTCTCATACAGTGGTACCTCAGGTTAAGAACTTAATTTGTTCTGGAGGTCTGTTCTTAACCTGAAACTGTTCTTAACCCGAAGCACCACTTTAGCTAATGGGGCCTCCTGTTGCCGCTGTGCCTCCGCTGCACGATTTCTGTTCTCATCCTAAAGCAAAGTTCTTAACCCGAGGTAATATTTCTGGGTTAGGGGAGTCTGTAACCTGAAGCGTATGTAACCTGAAGCGTCTGCAACCCGAGGTACCACTGTACTTATTTATTCCTCATTTGTAGGTGCTAAATCATCAGCCTTACACGGGATGCAGATGTCTAAATAGATTTAATAAACTAACATGATTCTGTCTTTATTTTCTATTCCTTATTTGTCTTCCCTATGCATGTATTAGCTTATGGGAATAAATCGCAAGAGCCCTGCATTGGCTTTGCTGTCATTGTTAGCTCTTTACTGCACCTTTTAGATGGTACAAAATGCCTGGAACACACTCAATGCTTTCCACCGACTGCATACAGTACAGGAAGATCACTAATGGTGGAGAGTCTGTCATTCAATATGCCAATCCCACCCCCTCCAATTACAGTGGTACCTTGGTTCTCGAATGGCTTAGTTGTCGAACAAATCAGCTTTTCTTCCTCTAAGCAGACTCCTGGGCAGTGAACAATGATCAACAAACCCGGAAGTAAGTGTTCCGGTTTGCAAACGTTTTTCAGAAGCCAAACATCTGACATGGTTTCTGCTTGAGTGCAGGAAGCTCCTGCAGCCAATCGGAAGCCATGCCTTGGTTTTCGAACACTTTTGGGAGTCGAACAGACTACGTTTGACAACCAATCTACCACTGTACTGATCTTCTCCCCAGACTTCCTCAGAACACAGTTTGGAAGCCGCCGGGCAAAAGAATCAAGGGGAAGATTGGTGTTTAAAAATGCAGACAGAGACAAGTTCTTTTGTAGACATTCACAATTCTTGCTGGAACCTTGAGGTGCTGCATCCAGGTGCTGAGAGGATGCCAGAGTTGGAAAAGTGTGAAGGAACTTACGTCTTCTGACTTGAAGACCTCTGCCCTCTCCACGTAGACCAGCTGGCAAACATCCTCTTCTATGGAATTGAACTGCCGGCCATTGCAAGTCATGTAGAAGCTGTCGGCATCTGCCTACAATTAAAGCAAAGGAGAAGAGACCAAGCTGTTTAGATGGAGAGAGCACAGCCCACTACAGTGAACAGCAGGACAGAGGCACCTGTGCCAATAGGAGATAAACTGAGATTACTTCCCAAGCCAGTGGTGCTCACACAGTCCCCTCAGAATTTAGAACACTTTTTAAAAAAAGGAAATACCGTATTTTTCGCTCTATAGGACGCACTTTTTCCCCTCCAAAAATGACGGGGAAATGTGTGTGCGTCCTATGGAGTGAATGCAGGCTCTTTGGCTTCAGCGATAGCAACGCGAAGCCTCCGAAGGGCAGAGGGAGAGCTCCCCCCGTGCTCCGGAGGCTTCGCGTTGCTTTCGCTGAAGCCCCCAGAGCGCAGGGAAGGCCCACTGCGCTCCGGGGGCTTCAGGCAGCTATCCGCAAGCCTTCAGAGCGCAGCAGGAGTTCCCGCTGCGCTCCGAAGGCTTGTAGATGGCCGCCTGAAGCCTGGAGAGCGAGAGGGGTCGGTGCACACCGATCCCTCTTGCTCTCCAGGCTTCGCTTCGCTGGTGGTGCTGCACAGTTTTACCTCTCTGCGCAGCGCACCTCCAGCGAAGCGGGAGGAGAAATGGAAGGGGCTCCGTTTCTCCTACCACTTCGCTGAAGGGGCGCTGAGCAGAGAGGGGGAGAATTTCCCCCCCTGTTCTCTCTCCCCACCCCGCCAATGGTCCGGTGCGTCTTATAGAGCCAAAAATACGGCAAGTATTTATAATGCACATATCCTAACTTTGCTGAAAGCTCAGATGCTGCTGCAAATGTTTATTTTGAAAGCACCTGGAGCTATACAGCACCAAGATTAAGCAAGGAATAGGTAAGATACAAAATTTATAGGTGCCAGAATAAAGTTTAAAACCCAGATTCAAGTTTTAAGAACCCTGGGATTTTCCATATATGGATACTGCTATATACTAATCCTAATTTCACAAATGCACATGAAATACTTGTATGTGTTTTCTGGTCAGGTTTTATTGGAGACAGCCCACCTCCAGCTTCCCTGCTTCTTGCCATCTTAATGCTCGTTCAGAATCCCCCAAGCCCACCTGAGTCAGTGCTTCAAGTCAAACATACAAACTGAATCATTTTAGACAACTGCAAACTGCTTGTGCTGTGTCTAGTAACTGACTCTTGGCTGAAAAACATCTTCATGTATGCGACAATGGCAGTGAGAGTTTTAATAGCACAAGGATGGAAGACTGAAGAAACCCCAACTAAAGAATCATGGCAAGAAAAATTGATGGACTATGCAGAACTGGCAAAACTGACATACAAGCTACGGGACAAGGATAACTGTGACTTTAAGGATGAATGGGAACCCTTTACAAAGTATTTGAAGATGCAAGAAAGCGAACTGGACTCCTTGGCTGGCTTTGAATAAACATTCACAAAGTTTTTATTGATAATAATCAGCTAAAGGATCTATACAACTGTGTAACATGCAGAAAACAGCATTTTTAGAGAAATCAAAGATTGGAACTGAGGGAAGTCGGGGGGTGGGGTGGTTTTGTGGGGAGAGGGAGGAAAAATGGGGGGAAATAAAGATGATATGTTTCTGGATAATATGTTTTGTTTTAATTTTGAATAAAAAAGTGTTTTTTAAAAAAAGTAACTGACTCCTGACTCCAAACAACCCTGAATTGCAAATGGTTTAAAATCAGCAACAGGATTCAAAGCCCTGAGTGTCCCCAAAGAAGTAAAGCTGGCAAAAAAAAGGTTGTACTTTCCCGTAAAAGCCAAGTCTCCCCCACCAAGGAACCAAACAGCAGAGACCTGAACTTACCGTATTTTTCGTCCCATAGGACGCACCTAGTTTTTTGGGGGGGAAAATAAAAGAAAAAAAATTTCCTTTATTTCCCCCCCAAAAGCAGGTCGGGGAAACCGAACCAGGTCGAGGAACAGCAGGATGGCGGCGCTGCGCCTCCCTGCTGTCCCCCGAGCTTGTGGGGCTGGCCGATGTCTGCCCGGCGTGAGGGGCGCCCTGCTTCAGGGTGCCCCGCGCGCCGGGCGGCAGGCTGCTATCCGCAGCGTGGGGAGCCCTGCGGGGAACTCCTGCAGGGCTCCCCACACTGCGGATGTCTGTCCGGCGGGCGGGGCGCTCTGCTTCAGGGCACCCCGCCCGCCGGGCGGCAGGCTGCTATCCGCAGCGTGGGGAGCCCTGCAGGGAACTCCTGCAGGGCTCCCCATGCTGCAGAAGTATGCCCGGCGCGAGGGGCGCTTTGCTTCAGGGCGCCCCACCCGCTGGGCGGCAGGCTTCTATCCGCAGCCTAGACAGCCCTGCGGGACCTCCCGCAGGGCTGCCTAGGCTGCGGAGGTGTTCCTGAAGCCTGGAGAGCGAGAGGGGTCGGTGCGCACCGACCCCTCTCGCTCTCCAAGCTTCAGCGAAAGCCTGCATTCGCCCCATAGGACGCACCCAGATTTCCCCTTCATTTTTGGAGGGGAAAAAGTGCGTCCTATAGGGCGAAAAATACGGTAACTCTCTCCCCTCCAAAAGTCTTAACACTCTAACACAGCCTTCCCCAATCTGGTGCCCTCCAGATGTTTCAGATTGATGGGAGTTGTAGTCAAAACACATGGAGGGCACCCAGTTGGTGAAAGGTTCTCCAGCCGTCAGAACAGTCACACAGAAGGTACCCATGGACAGCGTAACCAGTTAAACCATTTAAGACGGCATATTGGGCATATGAGCTGGTGGTGGGTCTCACAGACCTTTATGAACCTAAAATGGCCTCCAGTAGCTCTGGGCTGCCTCCAGGTGCTCCACAACAGCAGTTTTAGGAAGGTACATGCAGAAGAGCATAGGTTTTACTGCTGAATGTGACTCAGTGAATGGTTAAACCTGTTCAGTGGTTACTTGGGTTTAAAATTTGTTTCATTTTTTCTGGGGTAAAAGTGTGCTTGCGAATCTTGTTCACTACTTCTGGCATCCTGGGAAGAAGAAACAGCTAGGTGTTTCTAAAGCATTTTTTGAAAACACTGTGTACTTGGAGAAAACTGTCCCCCCCCCCCTTTTGGCCAAAGTAACATTTCATCTCTTGGCTTTTTACCTGTGTACTAAATTTGATCAGGGCCATGTACTGGTTTGGGGTGGAGTCTCGTATGATCTTCATGTGCTCGATGACGTCATAAAAGGAAGCCACAAACTTCATGAGGTCGTGGCTGGTCATCGTGGCAGGCACCGTGAGAATACACAGCATGGCACTGCGCCGAACGTCTTCTTTCAAGGAGGTCATCTTGCTGCATGAGACGGGAATTAGAATGGTCAGTACGTTCACCGGCATTTCGAAAGCCTCAACCCACCAGTGAAAGCCTTAATTAAAAAGCACAGATGTATTACGGATCTACTTCATCCAAAGGCTCCCACAGTACAGATAATTTGTATAACAGGGTCTTCTGAAGAGGAAATGTATTACCTCTGTCACTTTCCTGCAAAATTGCACTAATTAACCAAGGGCAGCCAATGTGGTGTCCCTCCAGAGGTTTTGAACTCCAACTCCCATCATCCTGGCCATTGTCCATATTGGCTGGGGCTGATAGGAGTTGGAGTCCAAAACATCTGACATCATTCTGGATACTTCTGGATTAATCTGTAACTTTGTTTCACTATAGGTTTGTCAACCCCACTGAACCTGGTTACCTATTACAGAAAATCACTGCTGTGATAACAAACAGTACAGCAGAAAGGCTCATCTCAAGTTCATCAAGAAGATGATTAGCAAAGGAAGACGGGCTTCCTTGGTAGGCAGCTGCGAGCTACTGTGGATCTTCTTTTACAACGGGAGTGGGCAACCGCCAGCCTGCGGGCCAATCCTGGCCCACCAAGCCATTTCCCCTAAACCATGCCCATCAGTGGGCTTCATGGTTTAATGCACCACTGGATACATGCGTCTGATGCGCAAATATTTGTGCTAGAGTAGCATGAGAATGAGAACTTAAAAGGAAAGGGGTGGGGGAGAAACTCACAAAAGTTTCTGTAAGGCGGGTGGCGCTGTGGTCTAAACCACAGAGCCTAGGACTTGCCGATCAGAAGGTCAGCGGTTCAAATCCCCGTGATGGGGTGAGCTCGGTCCCTGCTCCTGCCCACCTAGCAGTTTGAAAGCATGTCAAAGTGCAAGTAGATAAACAGGTACCACTCCGGCGGGAAGGTAAATGGTGTTTCCGTGTGCTGCTCTGGTTCGCCAGAAGCGGCTTAGTCATGCTGGCCACATGACCCGGAAAAACTGTCTGCGGACAAATGCCGGCTCCCTCGGCCTATAGAGCGAGATGAGCGCCACAACCCCAGAGTTGTCCATGACTGGACCTAATGGTCAGGGGTACCTTTACCTTTCTTCCCCTTTAAGATTGGCATGAAAGGTACTTTGACAGGTGGTCAAATTTGGTCCCCTAGACAGATCCTAATAAGTACCTGACCTGTGGAGCCAAAAATGTTCCCCACCTGATGTCAGGAACAGGCAGGCCACTGTCTCCCAGAACCAGGAAGGAATTGAAAAGGGATGCAGAGAGAAAGTTTCTATGTAGGAGCGCTCTCTGGCTGTGTGCACACAGCCCATTAGGGGAGGATAAATAAACTGGGGTGAAGGAAAGGGGGCGTCCTGTTTCAACTGCTGCATAGTCCACAGAGCTCAGACCTGGGAATAGCTGCCTAGATTCTACACTGGTGTGCGTAGGTATTCAGAGCTGCAGAAGCGACCGCAGATGTTATCTTTAACAATAAATACTTAACTGTGGCTGGATGGTTACGTGGGAGCCGGTTGAAGCTAAATCCTTCGAAGACAGAGGTCCTGTGGCTGGGACGGGACGATATGGGATTGGGGGGGCAACTCCCATCTCTTGCGGGGGCGCAATTAGTGCCAGCACCGTCCATTAAGAGTTTGGGTGTAATCTTCGACACCTCCCTTTCCATGGAGGCGCAGATTGCAGCTATAACAAAGGCGGCATTTTTCCATCTCCGCCAAGCTAAGCAGTTGGCTCCTTACCTCTCTCGCCCTGACCTAGCCACTGTGATCCACGTGACGGTCACCTCCAGACTGGATTATTGTAACTCGCTCTACGTGGGGCTGCCCTTGAGACTGACCCAGAAACTCCAGCGGGTGCAGAATGCTGCAGCAAGACTCCTTACGGGGTCTTCGCTGCGAGATCACATTCACCCGGTGCTATACCAGCTACACTGGCTCCCGGTGGAGTACAGGATCAGGTTTAAGGTGCTGGTTTTAACCTTTAAAGCCCTATACGGCCTAGGACCCTCGTACCTATGGGACCGCCTCTCCTGGTATGCCCCAAAGAGAAACTTACGGTCTTCAAATAAAAACATCTTGAAGGTCCCAGGCCATAGAGAAGTTAGGCTGGCCTCAACTAGAGCCAGGGCTTTTTCGGCTGTGGCTCCGATCTGGTGGAACACTCTGTCACAAGAGACTAGGGCCCTGCGGGACTTGACATCTTTCCGCAGGGCCTGCAAGACAGAGCTGTTCCACCAGGCCTTTGGCCAGGGCACAGCCTGACTCCCTCCCTTGGCAATCTTCGCGGAGCTCTGGCCCAATGGTTGCCAGTGGCTTGATCCGAATTAATTTTATAATGAATGATTTTAGAGTGTTGTTTGTGCTGTACTTTTGTACTGTTTTATTGTTGTTAGCCGCCCTGAGCCCGGCTTCGGCTGGGGAGGGCGGGATATAAATAAAATTTATTATTATTATCTGCCGTGTGCATTCCTTGGCTATGAAACACCCATGGCCGGCCCCCGCCCTACAATGTGCAGCAGCTGAAGGAATAGCTGCAGTACACCTTGATTTGTGCAAGTCCATAAAGAGGCCCAAGACTCAGGGCAGTGTTCAAGATATGAGCAACCGATTTGCACCCTGAAATATCCCAGAACCTTCTTCAACATACAGGGGCTGCGTAGCAATGCACAGGGTTCCTAAATACCATATTTTTTGCTCTATAAGACTCACTTTTTCCCTCCTAAAAAGTAAGGGGAAATGTGTGTGCATCTTATGGAGCAAATGCAGGCTGCACAGCTATCCCAGAACCCAGAACAGTAAGAGGGATTGCTGCTTTCACTGCGCGGCGATCCCTCTTGCTGTTCTGGCTTCTGAGATTCAGAATATATTTTTTTTCTTGTTTTCCTCCTCCAAAAACTAGGTGCGTCTTGTGGTCTGGTGCATCTTATAGAGTGAAAAATACGGTAGGTAACAGGAGTTTCCTAAATGGTAGAGAATCACCACCGTAAAGAAACTAGTGCAAGATTGTGCTGTCAAACGTAATAGATGTTGAACCAAAGTATAAGTAAATATTTCAAACCAATAACTTTCCCCCAAACACTTTCCCAGACCCTTTAAAGCATCAGTTAAGGCAATTATAACCTCCCTGGACTTTATCCTGCTGCTACTTTCTTTAATTGCACTTTTTAAAAAATGACTAAACCAGAGTTACCTCTTCCAAAATAAATAAAAATAAAAATCCAGGAACTGGATTTATCACATTTAAGAGAGTACCTAGGGATTTGCCTTGAATTAGGTTCCGTTTGGCCTAGTATTGTCTATTCTGGGTGGCAATAGTTCTCCAGCATTCCAGGAAAAGAGGAACCTATCCCAGCACCCACTAACTGATTCATTAATTTATTTCTTAGACTTATATCACACTTTTCCTCTAAGGAGCTCAAGGTGGTACCCATTGTTCCCCCTTTCTCCATTTTATTCTCACCACTACCCTGTGAGGTAGGTTAGGCTGAGAGTGCCCATTTGAGCAAGCAATACGTGTGCTCTTCCACTGACTTAAAGCCCTTCCCCTAAGGGAGCAGGACTTCCACAATAACCATACATGGCTTGGATCTGTGACCCGCTTCGCACAAGCCACATAAGAGAAGCACTTCCTTACTTTGTCTTGTAGAGGTGCATGATGCCATGAACTATTTCAACTGACGGGTTTCCACTGAAAAAGGAAATCTGGTCTGGAAGCTGCTTCGAGGGGGAATCCAGGGCTGTCCCAACACCCCCACTTTGGCCATTATGTTTACTCCGGTCATCGGGGGAGGATGCCTCAGACGCTTTGCCTTCCTCCATCACTGCTTTCAACGCTTCTTTTTTCATGAATCAAGAAAAGTATAGGTCAGACACTGCCTGCGTGAAAGATTCTTTTTTTATATATAATAATGTTTATTACTTTTACAACAATTTAAACAAAAAAGAAAAAGCACAGAAAAAACAATACATTACATTACAATACATAGAAACACTAAGACATTAAACTAACAAGACAAAACAAAAACAGTTTAAAAACACAGCAAAGCGAAAAAGAAAAAGGAAAAAAAATAGAAAAATTTTCCAATATCTTATCTTTCTTTCTTTCACATATTTCCACGACCTCCTCACACCTCCCTTTTTGTATTCCACATCTAATAATTATCTCAGCAATTCCCTTCCATCTTCCCCTGCTTTCTATCCTATTATTATCTTAACACATTTCAACCTTATTTTTCCTTCAATACTCTATAAATCTATTTATACTTAATTCCTTATAACATTTCTACTAAAGCCATATCACTTAATTCCAACATTCTTTTAGCATTCATTAATTTTACAATGTTTCTGTAGATAATCTTTAAACTTCTTTAAACTTCTGCGTGAAAAATTCAACTGCTCTTCTAAAACATTATTTCCATACATTATAAAGGGAATCTACTCAGAAAGGGCCCTTTGTAAATTGTGTACATCAATGACTACTTCCAAGCCGCAGTTCACTATTTACCAACCCGGGAGCATGTCCAACAGAGTCAGTGAAACCAATCTGAGGGTTTTGTTTTGAGTAGGTGACTTGCAAACTGGTCCTCCAGACTATTTAGTCATAGAAAGGATCAAGAGGCCACTGACAGCTCAATTCCATGCATACTGATTCCAAAGCAAGCTCCAGTGTGCCAATGGGGATTCCAAATAAGTGTGTTTAGGATTGCAGCTCTAACCTAGCAGTCAAAAGGTAAAGACCACAACGCAGCCCCTAGCAATTAGAAACATTTCTCAGGTTATGTTTGGTCACAAAAGGTTGAAGGCGTTCCATTCGCACAAGGACTTCTGCATGTGCAACAGAACTTCCCCTCCCTCTTTTCTCCCTACCCCCACAACCAAAGCCTGCTCCAGAGGATTGCAGGAAAACCCAGAACAGTGGCTCAAAGGGGTGGGGAGGACAGGGAGGGAAAGGTCTGTTATGCTCATGCAAGTCCTTTCATGCAGTTCAAAGCATTGTAAGGTAGGAAAGTTAATCCCCGATTCAATACTCCTTCATATCATTGTAGAATTATTAGAATGGGCTTTCCCTTTCTGACTCCCTCTAGACCAGTGTTTCCCAACCTTGGGCCTCCAGCTCTTTTTGAACTACAATTCCCATCATCCCTGACCACTGGTCTTGCTAGCTAGGGATGATGGGAGTTGTAGTCCAAAAACAGCTGGAGGCCCAAAGTTGGGAAACACTGCTCTCTAGACCAGTGTTTCCCAACCTTCGGCCTCCAGCTGTTTTTGAACTACAATTCCCATCATCCCTGACCACTGGTCTTGCTAGCTAGGGATGATGGGAGTTGTAGTCCAAAAACAGCTGGAGGCCCAAGGTTGGGAAACACTGCTCTAGACCAGTGTTTCCCAACCTTGTGCCTCCAGCTGTTTTTGGACTACAATTCCCATCATCCCTTGCCACTGGTCTTGCTAGTCAGGGATGATGGGAGTTGTAGTTCAAAAACAGCTGGAGGCACAAGGTTGGGAAACACTGCTCTAGACTACCAAGTCCCATCAACCAAAGCCAACATGGACAATGGTCAAAGATGCTGGGAGTTGTGGTTTAAAACACCTGGAAGGCATCTTGATCACTACTCCTTCAATAGGCAGGCATCAGTTCTAAGAATACTTTAAAACTTTAGAACAATCTTGCCAACAAATCTACAGAAGTTGCAGACTCATAACCATTCACTGTTTGGGGCTTGTCCTCGTCTCTAAGAAACAAGGGCCGAGAGCCAAGTCTGTTCCTGTCCTGCCCTCTCCCCCAGCCTAGACAGTAACAAGAACAACAAAGTGTTCCTGTTTGGTCAGTTAGTTCATTCTGGCACTTAACAAGTCTGATTTAGTAATGGTCCTGTTGTATGGCTAAGTAGAGAGGAAAAAGCTTACGCTATCATATGCATGTTAACTGGCTCTGCCTGACACCCACTGATAGTTGTACATTTTCTCGAAGCAGAAACTTGCACCTGCATTCTGCCCAGAAGCACCATACCAGTACCTGCATCAGGCTTTATAGTTTCAATGATCATATCAGTCATCTCCCTGCGGCCAATGTGCTGGTGAATGATAGCTGCTTTCTCGACAGGCTCCTTTCCGTCTAAGGAGGCTGTGGCAGCTGCTAGTGATTTCTCCTGGATTTCCTCATCAGACATTTCAGTGGCTAAACAAAAACAGTGATGTGTATTATTATAATAGCTATCCACAAGCTATAACAAAAACAACAAAAGCAAACACGCCCTTTCAAATCTAAATGATTATATCCATTGCAGTTGAACTAGCCTATTAATTCATTCTTCTTTAAACTTGTTGGAAACTATCCAGAGTGGCTGGGGCAACCCAGTCAGATGGGTGGAGTACAAATAATTAAATGTTTCCGGCCTCCTATTGGTTCTGCATTTGGGCTACAACACACCTGTGACACATTTAGCTGATCTCAGAGGCACTTGTAGATACAAATCAGGTCATGAGCAAAGCATTATATACACACACGCAGTGTAACACAGGTATCCGGGTTTTCCTGTTAGAGCAATTGATAGGATGCATAATTAGAAAACTGCCATCACAATATTATTATGAAAGGGCCCTGTTTGATAGGGGAAGCACAAGACCCTATCTCCTTCTTGCCATTGTATTAAGTTGTTATTAACAATCTGTCATGTACAATGACAGACATATATGCAGAAACCAGGAGTCTGTAGCATTACCCAGGGGGAAAATTAATCATTTTCTTACATTTTCTAAGATGTCACAGATGAAGATGAGGGCACACTTCTATACCAGTGACTGCCTATTTTAGAAGAAGAGTTTGCATTTGGTATCCCGCCTTTCACTCCCTTTAAGGAGTCTCAAAGCGGCTAACATTCTCCTTTCCCTTCCTCCCCCACAACAAACACTCTGTGAGGTGAGTGGGGCTGAGAGACTTCAAAGAAGTGTGACCGGCCCAAGGTCACCCAGCAGCTGCATGTGGAGGAGCGGAGACGCGAACCCGGTTCCCCAGATTACGAGACTACCGCTCTTAACCACTACACCACACTGGCTCTCTTTTAACGCCGCAGGGCCTGCAAGACAGAGCTGTTCCACCAGGCCTTTGGCCAGGGCACAGCCTGACTCCCTCCCTCGGCAATCTTCGGGGAGCTCTGGCCCAATGGTTGCCAGTGGCTTGAATTAATTAATTTTATAATGAATGATTTTAGAGTGTTGTTTATGCTGTACTTTAGTACTGTTTTATTGTTGTTAGCCGCCCTGAGCCCGGCTTCGGCTGGGGAGGGCGGGATATAAATAAAATTTATTATTATTATTATTATTATTATTGAATTATTGCCTCGTGTGTACATCCTGCATTCCCAAACATATCACACATTCTGGAAGGGATTTGTCCTGTGTTGTGCACACATACTCTGCATTACCTTCTCTGACATAGGCTTCTGCCAGAGGGCTTATTAGTAAACCAGTAACACCAACTTTCCAACTGTTGTTGGAGGGCGAGCCCTTTTTCATTTGAAACATTATAACGCTCTATGTAGATCGATCCCAGTAACTCTTCATAGTAAACAGCAACAATATGAAGCTTGTCATTAACTTGGGAGCACTGCTCTACCTTGCTCAACATGATCTACCTCAACCGGTATCACCTCTGTGTGATCTCCCCTACAAAGACATCTGCTCTTACATAAGCGCCTTTTAACTAGAGGATACAATTCGGTTAGGCTTTCTACCTTTGGGGATAAAATAATAATAATTGCTGTGCTTTAAAAGTTGTGCTTTTTTCTTGTAAAACACACTGGGGGTCACTGTAGTAGAATTTTAAAAATATTTATGTTTTAATCCCTCTCTGAGAGACTTCCCTCTCTTTCTCTCCACCCCCCCCGGCTTGTTCCCCCCTCATTCTCCCCCGAGCCCCCTCACCGGCCGCGCTGTAAGGAAAGCCGCCCGGCACGGGCGAAGTCTCGGCCAGCTCCAAGCGAAGGACCACCAGCGACACACTCATAGGGCCCGCCCTGGAGGGGCTCCCGAGCCCGCGGGGCCCGAGCGGGGCAGGGGAAAGGGGAAAAGAGGCCCAAACCGCCCCTGAGGCGCCAGCTGTGGCTCCTGCTGTTGTTCCGCCGCCTTCGCCGCCGCAGCTCCCCAGGATTATGAGCCACTTCCGCCCCCTGGCTCCCTGACCCTTGACCCCCGCGCGCGCAGGCGCAGAGAGGGAGCGGCAGAGGGGGGGCGGGGCGAAGGTTGCCAGATCTTCTGCTGTTTAAGTGGGCGGGGCTGTCGTGAGGACGTCGCTCGTCCCTCCCTGCCCGTGTTCTCGCGAGACTCGCCGAGAGGCAGAAGCTGCTGCGAGGGACTCGACGCAAGGTTCGTCTCGGGTCAGAGGTCACCGCAGCTGCTTTCTGGGGAGAGGGCGGAAGTGAGGGTGGGGGGCAAAGGAGAGAAGGGCAAAATGCGGGGTGCTGGAGGTTGTGGCCTCAGCTTTAGGGAAGGGGGTGTCAGGAACCTTGAACCTTTTGCGCGGTGGGATTTGAGTCTCTGGTGGTGTTTGTCTACTTTTTTGTGATCTCATGTCCCCCATTTTCAGGGTAGATCTTTTGTTCTTAGGTTGCCCAACCGTACAATAATAATAATAACAGTAACAACCGTAACAGTAACTTGTAAATAATTCAGCAAACTAAAAGCAATACACAAATAGATGCTGGAATCAAACTGTTGTAAGTGAAAAGAACAAATCTGTTCAAATATTATTTATCCATTTCCTATTTAATATACCTCGAGTTACATATGCTTCAGGTTACAGACTCCGCTAACCCAGAAATAGTACCTTGGGTTAAAAACTTTGCTTCATGATGAGAACAGAAATTGTGCTCCAGCAGCAGCAGGAGGCCCCATTAGCTAAAGTGGTGCTTCAGGTTAAGAACGGACCTCTGGAACGAATTAAGTACTTAACCCAAGGTACCACTGTATATTTATTAACCCTGCTTTTCAGGAGATAGCTTCACAAAGCCACACACTTAAACGGCACACGGCAAAACGCAGTTTAAAACTTGTAAGCAGCACTGCCACTGCCAGAATTTCTGCAGCCCAATTAACATTCTTCCTGGAAAGCAGCAGAGAACTACACCCCCTGCAATTATTGACCATGCTGGCTGGGGTTGGTGGGAGTTGTGAACAACCGACGCCAGACAGAAAGAGTGCACTGATACTGTGCAGATTTACAGGCACAAAGTGATAGGGATAATCTTCAAAGCCTTATACCACCTTCCCTTATCTTAGACTGTTCATACCTTACGTGCCAGTATGCCCACAACCAGGTTGTTGGGCATGTGGTGGGTATTATTTTCAATGGCAACTCTGCATTTGTGGAAACCTGATCCAATTATAAGATCAGACAAGACTCATCCTACAAGTTTTAAAGCTGTGTTTGGAAACATGCTTGTTCAGTAAAATTTGGAGGGCCATAGGTTTCTGATAAGAGGTGCGCAACCTAGCCCTAGGGAAGGAGCCACCTACATAGTCATGATAATTTTTTATTTATAGCTTACCACAGGAATATGGAACTTGTGGCCCTCTGGAGACTTCTGGATACTAGATCACCACACAGAGCCAAAACATCAGATGTGCTGAGTAACCTGAAAGATGCAAAAGTTAGCATTGAAAGAGAAAGCTGTGCAGACAAGAAGTTATCCCAAAATCTGGAAACTACTAACTTGCAACAAATCTCTTAAGCATTTACTTTCCCCTTTATATACACAGTTCCAGAAAATGTGTGCTGGGCGGTTCTTCCAAGCCTTCTGTAACCACCATGTCAGGAGATCACACATCCTACAACGGTTCTGGTACAGACCTCCACACTCACTATGGAGAAATTCTTCAACCTGTCCCTATAAAGCTGTGATCTTTGATATGGGTGGTGTTCTCCTTCCTTCCCCAATCAAACTCGCAGCAGGTGAGTGTCTGTATCAGTGGCATTCCCATCCAGTCTGACATTTGCTGATTGAGCTGCCTTAATATGGAATGCAAAGTGGAATATTCCAAGTCCTTTCTCTGCTATGTAAAATGTGTCTTGTATTATTCTGCCCAACCCCAAGCCAGGGGTGCCTGCGCTTTCCCAGGGTTCAGTTGCCCTGGAATGAACATCAGTGGAGACTGTGGTGTTCTGAAGATAAATTGTTTTGATTTCCACCTGAGCATAGGAAGGAGGGGCTCACAGCATTAACACTCACAACAGAACTTGTTTCTTCATTGTCCCAAGCACACTAGCTCCCAATGAGGACACACGATTGGAAGTTTAGTTCTTTATTGGCAAAGCACTCAATTTCATAAGGTGCTAAGGTGCAATAATCACATGCACTGCTCATGCTAAGTAGTTTGCTAGGCAACTTTTTCTTCAGACTTGTGCTCCGATCCCAGACCCTCCAGGTGTCCTTATTTTCCAGGAATGCCCCTGATTTAATGAAGCCATTCCGGTTTCTGATTTGATCCGGGAATGTCCCGCTTTTTAGGACATCCCTATTGGAGAAATGTTGGAGGGTATGGAGTTATCCAGCCGCCAAGTTGTCTGAAGGCAATCCTTTATAGGAAAGGTTTTTTTGTTTAATGTTTTATTATGTTTTTATATGTGTTGGAAGCCACCGAGTGTGGCTGCAGCAACCGAGTAAGATGTGTGGGGTATAAATGGTAAAATTATTGCCCCTATTTTCATTGGAGAAATGTTGGAGGGTATGCAGTCAGGACAGTTGGAACAACAGGACGGACATGCCTTCTTCAGCACGTTTAAACCACCTCTTTTGACACAAGCACCGGTGACTTCTGTGTGGGATCTCCAGCTGCTCCTGTCACTTTAAGCCCCTTCTCATCCTTGGAGACAGTGGGAGAGGGGACGGATTTTAATGGCCCAACTCTCTCTGAGACCCTCTCTTCCACTTCTGTGACTCCCTGCACCTCTTTCCCTGCTTCTGACTTCCCGTACTCTTCCTCTTTCCCCTGCCTCACAGGTGGCACAGATCCCCACCCATTCCCCTGGAACATTTTCCTGCCTCCTCTGCTGACTCTTCCAGACACTTGCCTTTCCCTGACACCCATTAGCCTTCCAGGGAAACCAGCCACAACTTGGTTTCAGACACATTTCTAGGTCACCAGCTTCCAGCATCAGCCCAAACTCTCACACACAATTCTACGATTCTATTCTAGACTTCCCCAGGCTGCATCATCCTTGACGTGACAGGTATCCCTGATATTAGGGAACAACATTCCTTTCTATAGGAAACACTGGTGACTGGTAGGAAACCTTTCATGTCCCCACCCCAATTATTAATGTTGGTTCCTCACCCATCTGCCTTCCTTTGTGTAGACTGGGAGGTTCGGCACCGTGTCCCCCCTGGCACCATCAAGCAGGCCTTGAGATCGGAGGGCAGGACGGACCTTGGCTGAGGTACATGAGAGGGGAGCTGCAGCCAGCAGAGTTTCTGCATGAATTTGGAAAGCAGTGCTCCGAGATCGTAAGCCAGCTTTTCTGCTTGTTTTCTGTCACCTGAATAGGGGCCAAGTAGAAGGGCTCACATGCAGAGTTCTTATCTCAGGGGCAGGAAAAACTGCAGTCTTCTGGCTGTTGCTGGCCTCTGCCTCTGTTCAGCTAACATGGCTAGTGATCAGGGATTTTTTTTAAAAAAATAATAAATTAAATTTTTAAATTTTATTAAAATAATTCAACATTAATACATACATATTACGAATATACAGACAAACATACATTGAATACAGTCCTTAAAAATATTCATACATACCCACACTCAATCCCACACATACTGGGAAAAGGAAGTATGTGATCAGGGATTGCGGTATGAAGTGTCCAGAAACGCCTAGAAGGCTGACAGGTTCTCCACTCCTATATTGCTATTATTATTATTATTCTGCCCATCACCCTAACCTACAACATTAAAAATAGTTTAAAGCCACTTATAATTGCAGAAAGAAGATGAGTCCTAAAAATATGCATATGTCAAAAGCCAAGGCAAAGAAGCTGTATCTTCAACATTTGCTAGAAGCTTTGCCATGAATGTGCCAGACGTACCACTCTGGGGAGAGAATTTCCCAGCTTAGGAACTGCCACAGAGAATGCCCTTTCCTGGGCCGCTGCCAGCTTCTGAGGACAGTGGGTCGCCTCTGGTGATATTGGCACCCAGGAAAGTCTGTAGGGAAAGGGGGTGTTTGGTATTTAGGGTCTGAAACAATAATGGAAACATCCATAGGCCGAAATTGGGAGACATCTCCACCATGAACTGCCTAAGTGTCTTAGCACATTTGCAATTCATACCTCTCACTACAACCCTGTTGGGTAGGCCAGGCTGAGAAAGCACGATCAGTTCAAGCCCACCCAGAGAAGTTTTAAGAGAGAGGGAGCCCTCTGCCCTTTCTTCCATCTCTTCTTTAGCTGTTTTCGACCATTCAGTTCAACTTTGTTCTTTCACGCTATAAAAAATGACTCAATGTGTAGAATATGGCCTGGTATTATTGGGTTGTGTGAAACATTTGGCGTGATCTTTTCCACCCAAAGATGTTTCAGCCACCGTTTCCCTTTCTCTTTTTACCTCTTCCCACAAGGCAAACTCCTCTGTCCCAGTGGACTCTTTCCTCGCAGATTTGACCAGCGTTGGAATGTCAGAGCAGCTTCCCGTTATGACTGAAGCAATAAAGTGCATCCGAGCAGAAGGCCTGAAGACGGCCGTCCTGAGTAACAATTTCTATTTGCCCAGTGGAGAAAGTTTTCTGCCCTTGACCGGCAGCAGTTTGATGTGGTGAGTTCACAGCGTGCAACAGAGATTCCAGTTTTTTTTAAGGCTCTCTTCTCATTAGAGAAATCTTATTATGCTGCGAGAGTTTTGTGTGGTGTAGTGATTCGAGTGTCAGGCTAGGACCTGGGAAACCAAGGCTGAAATCCCCTCTTGGCCGTGAAGTTCACTGGGTGATCTTGGTCCAGTCATAACCTACCTCACAGGGTCATTGAGCTCTGTGGAGGCAAAGGTGAGATATAATTCCACTAAATAAATAGTGTAATCAGATGACTGACCAGTGAGCAGCTCCACCCAGCTGCCACACTTGGCCTGCAATGGGTGAGGTCTCCATCCCTATCATAGACCAATTAGAACATTGGTTTATCTTACTTGCATTTAGT